GGAAGGTGACGCCCCATCACACCTCTGCTGCTGCCACTGCCGGCAGCACAAGCCTCGGCCAGCCCTGGTTACCTGAGCCTTGGGCGGCCCTGGGCGGCTGGGGAGCTGAGAGGACCGGGGAACTCCGGGGGCGTGCGGGCGCCGCCATCTTTGCAACCTACTGCTCAGTTGTTTGGTCGTTCCTCACTAACCCCCCTGCCGGCCTGGTTGCCCCATGCAGCCTGTTCAGTCATCTGTTTGGTTGTGATGGTCACTTAGGCTTTTATATAGATAGATTGTTGAAAGTATTCCATATGTCCCCCTTTTCCCCCATTGGCCCCCTCCATCCTCCCACCCCCATTATTTTCTCTTTCCTCTGTAATTGGAGAAAAATACCCGCTGTGAGAAAACGCAGACAGAAGCTTTTGGAGCTATTTATATACATGGAAGTACACAAGTCCGAGTTGTACAAGTCAACGAGTGTTTACACGAGTACACACCACGGACCCACCCCGGATCCCACGAGAGCATCCCGTCCCCCGAGAGCCTTTCCTCATGCCCCCCGGCCACCCCGTCCTGGCTTCTGCCCGCAGACCTGGTGTTCCAGGCCCCACCTGCATGTAGTGGATTGGATGGCACACAGAGGGCTCTTTGTGTCTGGGTTTGAAGCTCACCACAACTAGACATCATTTAGCGTTTCTCTGCCAGTTTACCTTCCCTTCTCGCACCCCCTTTACAGATGGGGAAACTGAGGCTCAGGGAGGTGAAGGGCTTGCCCAAGGGCACATGCCTAGTTGCTTTCAGAATTAGGACTAGATTCTAGTCCCTGGGACATGTGGCTTTGTGGGGCCTCTGCTGTTCTCGACAAGGACAGGCAGGGCCGGGGCCACCCAGGTGTGCCTGTCTGTGGCCTGAGTGGTTCGGAAGCATCCACGCCCTCGGGGCCTGGGGCTTTTATTTTTAATGTAATTTGGGAAGCTGGCTTTTAGCTCAGGCCCAGATGGCAGAGTGGGCCACAGCTGCTGGGGTTCAGGCTACCAGTGGAGAGGTGTGTGTTGGGGGGACACTGCGGACCCAGGGCCAGGAAACCCTGGGGAAGAGGGAGTGAGCTGTCTCCTGCCCAGGTCTCCTGTGCTGTCAGAGGTCAGAGGAGTGGCTGCTCCTTTGCCTGCCAGTCTGTCTGCCTTAGGCGGGGGCGGGGCGGGAGGCGTGTGTGCAGGGGAGCTAACTGGTGGCCCTCTTCTGGGGACCGGCTCTGGTTTAGGTACTAATCTGATCGAGTCCTCCCCGTGGCTGGCACGGGAGGAGGCGAGGCGGACCACCACTGCGCTCTCGTGGCCCCGCCCCCGGAGGACATCCTCAGACTCATTAGGAATAGCCCCGCTCTTCGCCACATGTGCTGAGGCCCAGGCTTTACGACGAGATCTGTTGGGTTTTGATAGATGTGCATCCTTGCCTGGGAAGCGCCTCATGGCCCGCTGATGGGAGCCATGTGGACGAGCGAAGGAGCCCCATTGGGCTCCCTTTCTGTCTGTCTGGGCGCAGCCTTCCTCTCAGGTGGAGCTGTCGGCTGCCCCCTGCAGCCGTGGCGTCTCAGCGTCCTTGGTGGCACTGGCCCTGGAGGTCCGGGCTGCTGAGGACGTGGAGTGTTTGTTCACAGATCTCTTCAACGACAGTGAGCGCTTCCAGCTGCAGGGGCAGGCTTTCCTTCCTCTGTGTGTCTTCCTGCAGCCGTGGCTTCTGGTTCTGGCACAGTGGCTGTGGTGTCTGGCTCGCCCTCCCCAGCCAGCCCGGCCAGCCCTGGGAGCAACTGGGAACCGGGACTTAGCCAGAGCCCCAGGGGCCTTGACTGGACAGTAGACAGGCTGCTTCTGCTGCATCCCGCCGGGTCCTCACCCACCAAAGAGCCACTCTTAGTGCTTCCTCCGAGCATGGCTGTCAGTGGGAGGCTTGAGGGATCCTCATCAGACCCTCCAATATGCACTTTCCACCACTGCTGCCCGCAGGCCCAGAGGGTGGGAGGAGAAGACCAGGACAACAGCCAGTCCAGCCACGATGAGCTGCAGAGCAAACGGTCCCAAGGTTCCGAGAGGTACGGCTGGGTGAGGCCGCCGCAGGGAACTCGGGGATGTGTGCTGGGTAGAGCTCCTGGCTGGTCCGCGTGGCTTGGCT